GAAATTAATAGGTTTAAAACAAACAAAAGGAAGTTTTTCTTCATGCAGCGCACAATCAACCTGTGGAATTCCTTGCCAGAGGATTTTGTGAAGATTAGGAGTTTAGCTAGTTTTTTTTTAACCCAGTTAAATTCTTGGAGGTGAGGTCCATCAATGACTATTATCTAGGATGGATACGAATGGTGTCCTTAGCCTCGTTTTGGAGAGGGATCACGTGATGATTACCTGTTCTGTTCACTCCCTCTGGGGCATCTGGCATTGGCCACTGTGGACAGACAGGATACTGGCCTAGATGGACCTTTGGTCTGACCCAGTATGGCCATTCTTTTGTTCTTATGAACAATCCTTATTGCCCGAGAATCCAAAAGCTAAAAATTAAAAAGCAGCAGCAAAAAATTACTGGCGCTCTACAGTGTTTTACAGTAATTTAAACAAAAGTACATTTACAGCATGGTATAAAATAAGCTTAATATGCTTTACAGGAATATTACTTCTATTTTATTTATGAGTGATGTAATAAACATTTAATTGTAAAAGACTGGCCAGTGGCATTAAACCAATACACAAATCACCTTTCCAATAAAAACCATCAATTTATTTTCAAATCCTTTTGCTAACCCCTAACATGTGAATGACTAAAATATTATTAATTTTCAGTCCACTTTTTATAGCGGGAATATGTTACAATTATGATTCAGATTGTCTCATTGAATATTTTATAGGCAACTGTAAAAATTTCAAGGGGGATAGAAAATTATCATAATAAAAATGTATAGAAAAACAAATGTGATAACTACAGATACAAACAAGTTATATAAAACAAAAGTGATGAGTCTGTTGCTTTGTACTCTTTGCCCTTCAGTCATACATTTGTCTTCTAAGGTTAATTAGTCTATATAAAAGGGGTGACATCTACAGTTGTGCTGAATCAGCAGAGTACTCCAATCCAAGCTAATCGTATCTACGGTGATTGATATATAGTTGGTTCAGAAAGGATAGAAGGGAAAGTTCAAGCAGCGTGTGAAGAAAATTATACTAACCCAAACTTCCTGAAGAGTCTCCTCAAGGGAAGGAGATCAGTGCCATTTGGATACAAGGAAAGATGTCAGCAACTGAAAATGAAAGTGATGCCTGGGAATCAGATTCTCAGGCTCCAAAAGGCCAAAGAATAAACATGGATAGGTTAAGATTGGGAAGAAAGCTCAGTATGGCTTGCCTTTCTCAGGAGACAAATACCTTTATTACTCTGGTGCCTAAGACCATTCAAAGCAAAGAGTTGCAACACTTGCTTAATTACCTATGGATATTGGACTTTACTAGGGTATTATCCTCAGTCACAAAGTTTTCTCTCTCAGTAGAAATGTACCCTTTCCAAAGGAGAAGGTTCACAATAAGATGTAATAGGAGGTTTGTAAAATTTGAGGGAGCAGGTGAGTCCCAAAAGGATGGATATGAACTAGAAACAACTGTCTCGGCATAAACAAAGCACTGGTATCCTAGATTGATAGGGATAAAAAAATAGAGCAAAGGAAATCACAGTAAAGCATGGACCTAGGATTCTACTGTATCCTGTATCAGGAGTCTGATTTGTTTTGTTTACTCCCAAGTTACACTTGACTTCAAAATTGTTTGCTTATAAAAGACAGAAACATGCAAAAGTTTCAGAGCATGCTATTACTGAAAAATTGCTTACTTTCTCATTTTTACCATATATTATAAAATAAATGGATTAGAATATATATATTGTAAGCTGTAGGGCAGTACAGCTTCACAGGTGATTAATCAGCCCTGCCCAATCAGTCAGCGCCACGCATGGAGCCCTGAGCCACTGATTGGATGGGGCTGATTAATCATCTGTGAAGCTTTGGTGCCGCACAGCTTAGAGGGAACCCTGCTTATATTTCAATGTATAGTATAGAGCAGTACAAACAGGGTCATTGTGAGTATGAATTTTAGATTGAACTGACTTCAGTAGTACTTTTTATGTTGCCTGTTGAAAAACTAGGCAAATATCTAGATAAGTGGATGCATCTGCTTGAATACCTCAGAGTATGCATACCCCTGGTTGAAAACTGATTACCTAGTTCCCTATTTGTTAGCCAAAGATCCAAAGATGAACAACAGCCTCTTCCCAAAGCTTAGCCACATGAAGAAATAGTAATAAATTAAACATACATACTTGTCCCTTCTGACCTGGGACAGGAAATGGGTTGCTTGTATGATAGAGGGTCTCAGAGCATGCACCACCACCGAACCGTCAAGCAGAGGGTATCTGAGACCCCCATGAAATGAATGTGTAGTGATGGGTTTTCTGGTTCTCTTACCACAGAGCAATCATCAAACTTCGAAAGAGTGGACTGTCTCTCCCTCTGTTTTGATTGCTTCTCAAATAATCTGCAGTTCTGAATCCTCAGAATATTTTTCTCCTTCGTCTCGAAAGAGGAAAAAAAGAACTTGAATTAGGGGAAGGAGTACTAATGTACAGGCTTTAAGCTTCCAGGCACAAGGAAGTAAAAACTGTAGGCTCTGCCGTGGATGGACGAAAACTCTATATAACTAACAGGTTTTGCTCCTTTGGTTCCTGACACAAGTAGGTAGAGCATTAATGCTGTCTGTCCTTGGCTCTCTGCAGGCTGGAGGGCATAAAATTAGTGTATGCAGTGTAAATATTTGAAGTCTGTGTAACTTTTTTTATATTGAAAAGTCTCATGTGGCTAAATCTATAACTTATTATAATATTTGTTACATGCTGGTCAATGATTAAACAATGTGAAGATTTCCAGATAAATTTTATTATCTCAAATACATTCCATTCACATTCATAGAAAGAGATGTAAAACCTACAAATTCAGCCTCTCAAACTGAAGTAACAACACCTGAAATACAGTTTGAAGCATTATATGTCATGTCCCTGGTCTCATTGTAAAGCAAATTTGGGCAAAAAGGATATAATCAAGAATCTTGCTAATTATTTTTTTTTATTTGTATCTTTTAGATGTCCTCTCTTTCTTCTACTTTACCTGAAGTGCACTACCACTATTTTAGGAAAAAGGAGCAGTAAAGGTCTCTTGAAGAACAGGGTAATAGGGAAGAGAACACAAAGTTTTATCAAGCTAAAAATGTGATGTTCTTTTCATGTATTAAATTATAGGTTAGTTTAATACAAGAGTAATAAAATACCTAAATCATTTTAAAAACAAAACACCCCATGCATCTCTGTCATAAAATTTGGCAGTAGTGCACAACCAGTGGTTTTATCCAATGAAGCTATTCCTTTTTACATTGTTCATCTGTTTTCTTGTAATATACTAGCCATCTACGTATTTACTGTGTATGTATTTCTTTTAAAATGTGTATGTAAATGGATATAAATATGATTTTTTTAAAAATAAAATCTATGGTACATGGGGTCTCAGTGCAAGCACTTGACAATATAGTGTCAGCAATGCTGTTTGTATCTTTCCATTCCACCATTTTTACAGTTTTTGGATTGTAACAGTCAAATTAATATGTTTAGCAGTTAGAAGCTTCAACCCGTTCCTACTTAAAAATCTGTCAATATTTAAAAGCTGAACACCTGCCTCTGATAATATATTATAAGAAGATTTAAGCTGGAATTGGAGCCAAAATGGACATATAAAGTCAAGCAGAAACACCAGATACCTGTAATATCTATAGAAAAGCACTGTGATGGCTTGCTCTCCTTTTAGAAACAAAAACCAACAAAACTGTTTTACAAGAGTCAAAAGCAATTACTGAAAAATAATGTATTAAAATAAAACAAAACATTCTCCTGTGTTATCTGTGGACCAAGAAGAACCTTGCTTTACCAGGAGCCACCTTTTTTGTTCCAAGATCTTCAGATGCCAGCCAGCAAGGGATATAAAAAGCTGAACATTGCAAAGAATGTGATGTTCAAGTTTCCTATTAAAAAGAATTTTTTTAAAAAAGCGAAACCCCACTATTTCTTCATTGTAACAGGGCATTAGACAGACTCCTGTCTAACGTTATGCCTTTAGCCAAGATGGCCTTGCTGAGACTTCTTGGAAGTCAGTTTTATCAGAGGAAATAACTGAAAGACAGAATGGTCATATATAGTGTATAAAAGTTTAGAAGAGCAATTATTACCTGCTGTGGCTTTATTTGGTGGTGTTAGTGTTGTTTATTCTTTGTTTATATGGGAAGTTTCAAAGTAAGACCTATTTATTAATGTCATTGACCTATTTGCTATTTTTCTGCTGCTTGATATTACTTCAAGATCTGTCTTTTAGTTATTTCTTTTAGCATTTTTATCTGCAATGTTTGCACGTACCTAAACATTTGTTTTATTGTCTATTCTCATTTGACAGATTTCAGTCAATCAAATGGTGACAGATTTTTCTCCCCCATTGTCAATAAAAATATTCAGTGCTATTTGTGTTTAATATTCTATAACGCTGGGTATATGATAGTATGAAAAAAGTTTGGATAACCAGCATGTCTCAAAGCATAAGAAAATTTTCCCAGGCAGAGACACATGAGCTTAATGTTGAGTAAGCCACTAGAGGGAGCACTGAACTTGCTTATTTATAGGATATGGTGAATTTATACTATACTCTGAAACAAAATACAGGACTATGTAGCACTTTAAAGACTAACAAGATGGTTTATTAGATGATGAGCTTTCGTGGGCCAGACCCACTTCCTCAGATCAAATAGTGGAAGAAAATAGTCACAACCATATATACCAAAGGATACAATTAAAAAAAATGAACACATATGAAAAGGACAAATCACATGTGATTTGTGTTCATTTTTCATGTGTGTTCATTTTTTTAAATTGTATCCTTTGGTATATATGGTTGTGACTATTTTCTTCCACTATTTGATCTGAGGAAGTGGGTCTGGCCCACGAAAGCTCATCATCTAATAAACCATCTTGTTAGTCTTTAAAGTGCTACATAGTCCTGTATTTTGTTTCAGCTACACCAGACTAACACGGCTACATTTCTATCACTACTATACTCTGGTTTCTCTTCAGATCGTATAAATCTTTTGCCTTTTACTAAAGATTTCCATGGAGAGGAATATCTTTGTTGTCTTTACAGTTTGAGTAAAGGCATTACTTTAAATTCTTCAAGCTTAACTTGCTTTCATGTTAATGTTTCCCCTCTTTTGACTATTTTAGTGAAAAATGTAAATAAGTAAAAACAGTGCAAACTACAAAATTTTCAGTGATTCTTGTATGTTTTGAGCAAACCCTTCATTATGTTCCAGGTCAGTACAGTATTCCTTGTTTGGTTGCAAAGTTCATATGGTCTCAACCCAAACCAGGAGCAACACATAGGGGAATGAGGGATACAGAGAGGGAGAATCAGCAAATCCCTGTGACCTGAAATAGAAGTTACATACTTCCAGAACAAAGTCTGGCCCTATAATACAATCTCTTCTGGAAGTTCAGAGGAGGAAAAAAAACCCACCAAGTCTTAAAGCTAGATGTGAACAGTTCTGACCCAGAGCCTGTGGCTAATTATTTTCCCTCACTGATTAGTTATCGTCTTAACAATTAGGAAAAAATAAAACTGGCCACCATAGCTGCAATTCAAACCCATTCTCAGATATCTGACCAAGTGTCCAGAGTTTTAGGGTGTTCTTTGGCTAGCATGCTGGTAAAGTTCACAAATATGTATGTACCTTACCTAGGATTTAGATTTTGACACCTTTATCTCAGGTAACCTAAGATGGCCATGGATCACAATGTCATTTTATACTTTTAGCACACAGCTAAAATACTACAGCTGAACTTCTAGCAACTTTCAAAGTTTTGCTCAAGTCTATTCACGTGTTTTTACAAATCACTGCTCTCTCATTTTCGGGGTACTTAAACTCTTCTTAGCCAGCAGCCATGCTATGCAAGAAAGTAAATTTTGCTTGGGCAAGGACAGTACCCCCCCCCTCCCCACATACATACACACAAAGGTCCATCACAGAGCTGTATGACATGCAAGGTTGTGCATTTCGTGGACCAGCAAACAATTGCATACAAATATAGTCTGAAACCATAACTTCATGGTCACGGTTATTTTTGCTTTTTGTATCACTAGTAAAAACCCAGAAACATTTTAAAAGTTGTAATTTCTACTGCTGATTCAAATTTGGCATCTTTGATCTCTTATTTATCTCTATAATACTGCACCACTAAAAGTGGTTGCATTTATAACACATCTCAAACATGGGCTATCTGGACTACAGCCAAATTGAAGAAATTTTATTTAAAGGGACCATTCCATTTGCAGATATACCAACTCTAATAGAGGTTTCTGTCATGTATACTCTTTTCAATACAGCATTATAACCTACAGCTGTAGTCCCATAAGCCATTGCAAATCTAGATAATGATTTTTGGAAGGTAGAAACGTGAACAATATTTGACCTAACAAACAATCCAGCAAATCATAAAAAAGCCCTTAATCGTTTTCTGGAGCCATTAAGTCCCATTTAATAAAACAAGCTTTTCAAGTACTAGAAGAATGAAATCATCTTTGTAGACTTCCTAAGTGCTGTACATACATACAATTGTTAAGAGACAATTTTGATTAAAAAAGTACAAGTTAGATACAACAGACAAATTCTGACAAACATGTTGCATTACCCTATTTCGGTAGCGTGGAAACAAATAGGGATGTAAAGGACTAGTTGACAGGATAGTCGACTAGTCACTCCTGTCTCATCCTCCTCCCCACCCCCGTTGCTGCCTCTATCAGATAGAGGCTGCGGGGGAGGGGAGGAGGGAGAAGAGGCGGGTACTTAAAAGCAGCAGTGCCACAGGGAGCCCGGGGTCAGCTGCTCCATTTGGCACTGCTGCTTTGAACACCACGGGGAGCCCGGCATCAAGATCCAAAGCGGCAGTACCACATGGAGCCCAGGATCAGCTGCGGACTCCCTAGTTCACCCTGGCTGCATGTGGTGTGCCAACTTTGAAATGTACAAGAGTTCCCACTGGGGGCTCTCGTGCATTTCAAAGCGGAAGCACCTGTGTGGAGGCTTGAGTCAGCAGGACTTCCCACTGACTCTCCATGCAGTGTTCCAACTTCGACATGCACATTTTAAATGTGGAAGTGCTTATCAACTAGTCGAGTAGTTGATGGAAATTCCATCAACTATTCGACTAGCAACTTCATTGCTACTTAACATCCCTAGAACGGAGCAGAGTGAGCTTCTGGCCTTCCGAGGTCATGGTGCAAGTCTCTGAAAGCCTAGGCTAGTGCCTTTAGCCCATGGCAGCTTCCTCCCTATAATTAATTACTATACCTTTTCATAGACATCTTTATGATATCCTTTACAAAAGAAAAATCTTAACCCCAAAATAATATAAATCAATTTTAAACATTCAGGTTGTGTCTATACTGGAATGATTTTCTGCAAATTCTTTTCACGGAAAAGTTTTTCCGTGAAAAGCATTTGTGGAAAAGAGAGTCTAGATTGGCACGGATGCTTTTGTGCAAAAGCACTTTTTGCGGAAAAGCGTCCATGCTAATCTAGACACAGTTTTTGGGGGCTTTCTTGCACAAAACAATTTTTACCTGTCTACACTGGCCCTCTTGCGCAAAAGCATTTGCGCACGAGGGCTTATCCCTGAGCGGGAGCATCATAGTATTTGCGCAAGAACACTGACAATCTTACAGTAGATCGTCAAGTGTTCTTGCGCAAATTCAAGCGGCCAGTGTAGACAGCTGGCAAGTTTTTATTAGTTAGGAAAGCAACTAGTATACAACTATATAGTCCACAGGATAAGATACCTAGATCCAAACGAATGCCTCATGGAGTAATTCTTGTCTGAATAAAGCATAAATAGTTTGCTGTACTGACTTGTTCATCTTCACAAAAATATTTGGTATCATTTTCCACACTGAGCTAAACAACACTTCAAGGTGCAAGGCAGTGGAGAATGAAGTTCTTGGTTTACATTTATAGCTGCCAGATATGTTGTGTCAGGGTGAATAATTTAGATTTTTATAGCCAAACTTAGGTAACTTTGTTCATTTGAGTAATCCTATTAACTTCAGTAAAGCCTTAATTTCCCAAGTGTCTCATATGGTGGATAGGTCCTTTGCACAGGATTTAAATTTTCACTCATGAGTCTCCCTCAACCCTTGTTTTGAGATACTAATCAGTGCCTAGCCCTGCTGCTGGACACTGTCTAAGTGGTGGCTATTACATGAACTGGAGTGCAGAATGGATGATTTATTATATAAGTGCTTGGTAAAGCATAAAATTAATTTTGGACTCAATTATTATGTGACTATTCATTCTGGTCAATAATGTAGTGGTTTGTTTCATTGTATTTGGTACTACCTAGTCTTACTCTTTCATTGCTTTGGTTGAAGGGTTTCAGTGGAAGGCAAACATTTTGGCTGTGTCTAGACTGGCCAGTTTTTCCAGAAAATCAGCCGCTTTTCTGGAAAAACTTGCCAGCTGTCTACACTGGCCGCTTGAATTTCCGGAAAAGCACTGACGATCTCATGTAAGATTGTCAGTGCTTTTCTGGAAATACTATGCTGCTCCCATTCAGGCAAAAGTCTTTTTCTGAAAGACTTTTGCGCAAAAGGGCCAGTGTAGACAGCACAGTACTGTTTTCCGCAAAAAAGCCCCAATCGCGAAAATGATCAGGGCTTTTTTGTGGAAAACCGCGTCTAGATTGGCCACGGATGCTTTTCCGCAAAAAGTGCTTGTGCGGAAAAGCATCTTGCCAATCTAGACGTGATTTTTCTGAAAATGCTTTTAACGGAAAACTTTTCCGTTAAAAGCATTTCCGGAAAATCATGCCAGTGTCTGGAATATTTTTCAGTTAAGCAGCTATGGCTCGAGTCCTGTGAACTGTTCTGCAAAGCCAGAGCCCCCCATGCACTGTGAACAGTTTGCAGGTGGGGGGGGGGAAATGGCTCAAGAAAGCATTGCAATGGGAGTCATCTTTTCATGTATGGCAGGCTCCCCACCATTATGGTCAGTCTGCTTTTTATTCTGGTTCCTGTATTGTGTCAGCAGTTCTACAGCTCCCTAGCTTTACTCATTTGCTGATGGCTATCCCTCTGACTGTTTTCTTTTTTTGAGGTGATACTACCCAAAACAAAAAAATAAGTTGTAGGTTTATTAGTCCCTATAGATATTCTTTAAAACAAAATACAGTAAAACTCCAATAGTCCGGCATCCAATAGTCCAGCACTCCTGATAGTCCGGCATCAAAATGGCAAGAGCCTAGTGAGTGAGCGTCGGCAAAAAATGAATCACAAGGTAACAGCAGCAGCAGCTGAACTGAGCGAAAATGGTAAAAAAGGGTTAAAAAAACTAAAACATTACAAGTATCAGAGGGGTAGCCGTGTTAGTCTGAATCTGCAAAAGCGGCGAGGAGTCCTGTGGCACCTGATGAAGTGGGTCTTTGCCCACGAAAGCTTATGCGCCAACACTTCAGTTAGTCTATAAGGTGCCACAGGACTCCTAACCACTAAAACATTACAGTATACTGTATACAGTATGTACAATAAAAAGGGTTAAGAACACTTTATACACAGTATATACATAACCAGCTTATAGTACCTCCTGATACTCCGGCATATCTGATAATCTGGCATCACCTAGGTCCCATAGGTTCCAGATTATCGGAAATTTACTGTATATCCTTAGCTATGGCCAGATCTGGAAAATAACTGGACATTTGTGAACCAACCAGCTTCACTAAAGGATTCTCCCTTAGCATGGCTTCAGGAAATGAGTCTTTCATCATACTGCTGTCTTCCTTGTTTTGAAGAAGATTTTTAAAATCTGCTGTATGAATTTTGTGTATATTTATTTATAAGTAACAGACTATTAATTTCATTATGCATTAAAAGCTAACACATGAAACAAACACACTAAAACACACAGGCACCATCCTGTACGTGCTTAGCAGCTGTATTATGCAGTGACTACATAGTGGCATAATGATTCTCCAACAGCTCTCTGGAATATTCAGCACCTTGCAAGAAAGGGCTCTCTTGTTTGTCATCAGTTAGCCAGCAGTCATCTTGCTATTTAGTAGCTGCTGCTGTTCACATGTCTCACTACAAACCTAAAACACGTGATTAGCTCAGCAGTGGAACACACACATACAGAGAATCTGGTTATCCCTTTCATTATCTTAAGAGTGACACACCCTGTAGCAGGCCAGAAAATTCCAAAGGTAAGCAGATGATCCATCATTAAGTCAAGCTTCTGTATCTTATTTGTTTTTTAATATGATTTAACATTAAAGATAAATTGATAGCCAGCCATAATCAGATTTTCAGAGATTTTAAGGATGGATGGGATTGTTATGAGTATCTACCATCACTTCCTGTGCAACATAAATTATAGAACCTCATCCAGTAATTTCTGCATCAAGCCCATAACTTTTTCATGAGCTATAAATATATTTTTTAAAGATATACAGTCCTAATTTAGTCTTTGTCTTTTCTTCCTCCTTTACCCTCTATTTATGACATAACTGAAAAGTACAGACAAATCATCAGGCAAATGCCTACTGGCTCAGTGGAAAAGTGAAGACCGCAATTAGGAATAAAAAATATCAACATACAACAAATGGAAAAAGGGAGAAATAAAGAGCAATTGATACAAATATTTGAAGTGTGGAAAATGGATAAGAAGCTAAAGACATGAGAGGGAAATCTATGGCCACTAGGGCTAAGGTCAATATAAAGGAGTTTTTAAAGTAGACTAGAAATGAAAGAAATCCTAGCTACAGTCTAGGCTCATTACTAGGTGAAGATGGGTAAAACTGTTAATGATGTAGAAAAGGCAGAGGTGTTCAATGAATAGTTGTGTTATATATTTGAATTTAAGCAAGATTGTGCACTTTTATTGTCCAGTTCATAGCAACAAAAGTGGATGTTAAGTAACATATGTCTAGTGAGAAACATTTTAAATTCAATAAACCTGGATAACTTTTCTTGAACTTTCCAGAAGCATGAAGAAATGATAATCATGTGCCAATATGCAAAAAGGACAAGTGAGATGACATGAGTAAATTAGGGATGTAAGCAACAAGTCAAATATTAGACTATCTGATAAGCCTAGACTTAGCAGATAGTTAAGCCACAACTCGACTACTCACTTCCCCCTTGCTGCCTCTGTACAAGAGGCAGCAAAGCGGGGGGAGCAGGAGCCTCTGCTAGGGGGAAATGGCAGCTTTTATGACATTTAAAAAGCAGAGCCACAGTGGTCTGTGGAGCTAGCCCTCTTATCAACCATTTGCATAGTCGATGGACATTCCATTGACTGTTCAATTCGCTTATTAACAGTTACTTAACATCCCTAGAGTAAATATAGGCCTGTTAGCCAGAAATCGGTACTGAGCAAACTAAAAGAAAAGCTGAAACAGGATTCAATAGATAAAGAATTGAAGACTAACACTATAATTAATGCCAGACAGTGCAGTTTTATGAAAATAGGTCTTGTCAAATAAACCTGATTTAATGTTTGGAAAGCTTACAAGCTTGGTTGACAAAAGTAACAGCATAAATGTAATACAGACATTTATAGTGATTTTGATTAAATCACATGATATTCTGATTAAAACAATTAGAAGTATATGATATCAACAAAGCATAAATTAAATTGACTGAGAACTGGCTAACTGACATTTCTCAAAAAGTAATTGTCAATGGGGAATTATTATCAAATGGGGCTATTTCTACCGGGAATCCACTGCGAGCAATAATAGAGGCAAAGCAATTCAACCTTTTCATCAATGAGCAGAAAGGAAATATTAAAATCATTAGGAATACAATGTGCCTGGGCAGTCTTGCAGAGTAATCTGGATCATTTGGTAACTGGGACCCCTGCAAATAAAGTGTATCTGAATATAGTCAAATGCATAGTTATACTCTAAGAACAAGGAAGGTAGGTCATGCCTATAGAATGGAAGTCTGTATCCTGGAAAGGTTTTAGAGGTCATAGTAGAGCAATTCATCATGAGCTCCCAGTGTGCTAGATGCTGTGGCTAAAAGTGCTAATGCAATCTTTGTATCTATGGCTATATAAATGGGAGCAGGCAGATGATTTTATTTCTTTATGCAGAATTAGTGTAATTGACATTGATATAATTCATACAATTCTGGTTTTCACATTTTAAAAAGATGCTGAAAATTAGGGAAGCGCACATTAAAATGACACAAAATTGATTTAAGGGCTGGAGAAAATGTCATATAGTGAGACTTAAAGAGCTCAATCTGTTTATTTTACCATAAAAAGGTTGCAAAGTGACTTGATTACACAGACCTTCACAGGGAGAAAGTACTGGGTACTAAAGGCCTCTTATCTACATAAAAAAGCCATATCCGGAACCAATAACTCAATGCTGAAGCTAGATAAATGAGACTAGAAATGAGGGGCACGTATTTTTAACAATGAGGTTGATTAATCACTGGAACAAACTATCAAGAGAAGAGATGGATTCTCCAAATCATGTAATCAAGACTGGCTAGATATGCAGCAAGTTATGCTTCATTCAAAAAAGTTACTGTGTTCAATGCAGGCATTACTGGGTGCAACTAAGAACCTGTGTTACATAGGTAATCACTCTATATGGTTGAATGGTCCCTTCTGGTCTTGAACTCTGCATATCACTGAACCCTCCTCACAGGGCTCTGTCAAAACTCTCTACTGTAAGTACCTACTTCTTACCTGATTAAACCTCCAGTATATTACAAATTACAAACACTACCAAACTGAAAAGGCTATGTCTACACTGGCAACTTCTTGCGCAAGAACAGGTGTTCTTGCGTAAAAACTTGCCTGCTGTCTACACTGCACAAGCGTTCTTGCGCAAGTAAATTTACAGTATAGCGCTGTAAAACAGGGCTTCTTCCGGAAGAGTTATTCCTCTCCCCTCCCGCCCCCCAAGGAATAAGCCCTCTTGTGCAAGAGCTCTTCCACAAGAGGGCAGTGTAGACAGGAAACATGAATTTCTTACGCAAGAAGCCCCTATGGTTAAAATGGCCATCAGAGCTTTCTTGCGCAAAAGAGTGTCCACACTGCCATAGATGCTCCTGTGGAAATGCACATCTCTTGCACAAAAGCACATGCCAGTATAGATGTGCTCTTGTGGAAGATTTTTTGCACAAGAACTCTTCCGCAAAACAGTTCTTGCACAAGAAGCTGCCAGTGTAGACAAAGCCAAAATATTTCGTTGTCCAGGATGATATGATAGAGGAAGCTGCAACATAAAATTTGCACCAGGTTACTTCAGACTGCTACTTTTTTTTTTTTTGCCAAATATAGTATTTCTTCATATAGTCCAGACATTATGAGGCTTTTAATAATAAGACACTAAATGATGCATAAAAGTCATTATTTTTTTTTCTTCAGAACTTCTTCTATGTGTTTAAACATGCCAGGATCTTCAATGGTTGGAGTTATCTGAGGAAAAACATATATAAATATGATAGAGAATTACCAGATATCATACATACTAAAGAAGAAACTGTTTCAATAAATCCTCTAATACTTATTTTTCTAAAATAATCAAGAAAAAAAGCATTTGTAAACCTTTTGAAGACAAAATATATCGCAGAAAAATAAAATTGCATCACAATGTTAGATACTGAACAAAGCAAAATATTTTAAAGAATCAAAAAGATAAAGTATCTTCTGAAGAGGTGCTAGCATCCTTTGTTATAATAAAGAACATGTATAGCTTACCTGATATGGTTTGCCATTGACAAGAGCAGAAAGAGCAGAACGTGGTATTTTGCCAGAACGTGTCTTTGGAATCTGTTTCACAAACACTGCCTTTCGAAAAGCTGCCACTGGGCCAATGCTTTCTCGAACAAGCTTAACAATTTCTTCCAAAACTTTCTCCTCCTCTATTTTAATACCTGGTGAGGAATTTCAGATGCTGTAACTACTTTACGGCATTATACAAATTTTAGTGGCAGAAGACACGAGTCTATGAACAAGTAGTGAGCGCTCACCATTTCTTAATATACATAGTGCTAATGGGACAAGACCTTTTAAGGCATCCTCTTGGCCAACAACTGCACAATCAACCACAGCTCCATGGGAAAGAATAGCCTGAGGGAGAAAAACAAAACAAATTCAAACAGCCGAGTATATATTGTACTGTAATTAAGATATAAGTAGCATAAACAATCTAGTATTTGGATGGAAATAAAAACAATCCCTATTTAACACAATATAGAGTTGAAGAGGTAATACCAAAGAATCCTTACATCAATGTTAAAATGACAATGTCACATTTTAACTCATTCCACAATATCTTTGCCAGAAAACATCATGTTAATATAATATTATGATCAATGTTTCACACAAGTACGCAGGAAGGAAAGAACAAGTAATCACTGGTATATTACTTGAATGTCTGCTCTATCACAGTTCAGACATGTGACCTATCTGTAATCTTTCCAACTATATGGAAAGCAGGGACTTGGAACTAAGCACCTCTTAAACCACAACTAGAGAGTTAAAACAATTCTATAATGAAACACAAACTGAGCAGTACGTTAGCAAGTCATTTATCTGAAATGTTACTTTCTGCTAGTCCAAACCAGCAGCAATAAACCCACAAATTATTACTGCTTCACATTTGTCTGCCAGGTTGAATTAGCTAATTAACTTATACAAAATGTGTCTCCTTCCCTTCTAGTCACATCTCCTACTTAGAGAACTTTCTTAACCATAGCCTGTGTAATCTCCATTTTTCACTGTTGACCTCTTAAAGAAGAAAAAAGGAGACTGAAATTAAGGAGAAGACATCTCATTGGTGGATCAGTCAGAAAAAAAATAGTCTACCATCTTTAGGGACCTTTAGATGGGCTGAAGACTGTTGGCAAATGTACTAGGTATGGTACAAACACGTATGAAGGCAAAACTCTTGCCTCAAAAGCCTGCACGGAGCAACAATATGGCGTGCAGTAAGAATTTGCAAGTGAGTACAAAGTAGGTATGTTAAGGTCTAGCCAACTATCCGATAAGCAAATGCTTATCAGATAGTCAACTAGTTGCTTCCTCCCACCTTGCTGCCTCCATCAGATAAAGGCAGCAAGAGGGGGAAAGATGGGGGATAATTCAAAGTAGCAGCACCGCACAGAGCCCGGTGTCCCAGGCTCTGTGTGGCACTGCTGCTTTGAAATGCCATGTCAGTATTTCGAAGGGGGCAGCGTTTCAAAGGGGCAGTACTGCCCTGTTAACTAATTGAATAGTCGATGCAAAAATGCATCAACTATTCAAATACAGGCATTCCCCGGGTTACGTACAAGATAGGGACTGTAGGTTTGTTCTTAAGTTGAATCTGTATGTAAGTCGGAACTGGCGTCCAGATTCAGACACTGCTGAAACTGGCCGCCAGTTCTGACTAACACACAGAATCAACTTAACAACCCCAGGCATCCCCAAGTCAGCTGCTGCTGAAACTGATCAGCAGCTGATTCCAGGAAGCCCGGGGCAGAGCAACTCTGCCTGGGGCTTCCTGTAGTCAGCGCTGGTCAGTTTCAGCAGAAGCTGACTTGGGGACGCCTGGGGCAGAGCAGCTGGGGTAGATATTGTGACTACAGTCGCTGAGGCACCCTGCTTCACGCTTCATATATAACTGGAGATTTGGGTGTCCAAAATGATTATAAAAACAATAGCACAGGCGTCTTTGATTTCACTCCTAGGAAACACTTTGAATCCATTGGTGTTAGTGGCTAAACCTTAAATACATCCTCCCTGTAGGAATTATAGCAGTCATAATATCCATTAATGCTTTCCTTATTGGCTGATAAAATAGTACAAAACATGAACCCAAAATTCACCATGAGTTAACATGGTGAATGTTATGAAGTATTTAAGCAACTAGGCCATAAGGTAACCCATTTGCATGAGCAAACACTTCCCTAAAGAAATAACCTATTGAAGAAACAAAAATTCAGTCTCACATTAGTGATGCACAGTAGTCTAAATCCAATAATACAAGCCTTCAGTTGCAAGACAGATGTCATAAAGCATGTGAAACCTCCACACAAACCTACTGAACATCCCTTTGCTTCCTAGTTTCTATATTCAAGTGACACTATTTTTGCAGCACACATGTACATAGCATGCCAAATCATTCTATACTTTAAGGCAGCAGGATTATATATGCACATTTTGTCCTATTTAGCCCAGCATTAAGATACATTTTATTTATGGAATAAAGTTATTTGCAATAATATGAACAGGAGAGTGCAGAAAAGATATAGTGAGTTATGGTTTTTAAATAACCTCAAGCCATTTTCACAACCACACAGTACCGTGCAATATTTTGTTGTTGTAACTTTATCAGTTACGTTTTCATAAGTTACATACTGTTTGGTTATTTACTGGGGATGGAATTATCTGCAGGGTAAGCCAGTTGCTCTATTCTTTAACTTTTATGTGGTCTGAAAAATTCACAGGAATCCATAGCCCATGGAGCTGGCCTCTATCCAATAGAGCTCCCCAGTCCTTTGTGGATGCATTGATGACTAACACCAGAATGGGAAATATTGGAGCGAAAGACATTCCCAAGAGTCCTTGCTCAGTTCCAGCCACCAAAGAAAGGGCAGAAAGCCCTTCTAAGGAGTTGTTACCTATCTGTTCATTTCGTGGATGTTTGAATGGTAAACTGATCTGATCCAGGGCTCTAAAGATCCCACCCTCAGTCTGGAAAACAGTACAATATCAGTGCTTGAGAACATTTGGCCTAGCATACCCAAACAATTTCTTATGGATTATTGGGAATAAGAACAAGCTTGAAAATAATTATGTGAGATAAATTTTGGAACTTCTCCTGACACAGGTATGTGTGCCTATGAATGGACTGGACTGAGCCTGATCTTTAAAACTAAGGGTATGTCTAGACAGCTGAACTATTTCGGGATACTGAAGGTATCCCGAAATAGCTATTCCACATCTTTTATGCGCACCTGTTATTTCAAAATAGATTTTGAAATAACTGGCATGCTACTCTGGCATCCCTGTAACCTTTGTTCTACGAGGGTTAAGGTATGGCTCTATATAGCACGTTATTTCGAAATTACATTTCAAAATAAGGTATTTTGAAATAAGCTACATAATTTACATAGCACAAATTGTGTAGCTTATTCCGAGATAAGGGTGCTGTCTAGACGCACCCCAAAATTTGAGAATAGATAGAGATTCGATCTCACTGAGTGAGAGATCTGTTGAGCTAATCTTCCCTGATTAATTAACTGTCAAGATGTAAGTCAAATCCCTATAAATCCCTCAATGCTGAAGATGGGCAAGTACTATCAGTAGGCATTTGTAAACACTTGAGTTGCAGCTGAGTGTCTCAATGGAAGAATCTGGAATAAATAATGATCACCTAGTATTTAGAAACAAAGCTATGTCTTTGTGCAAGGGACAATATGTACTGCAACATGAAAACATGTATCTTGAAAACTGAGTGGACTAAATCAGTCATTGTGATATAGAGAAGGTACAATGGATGTCAGAGTCATCATGCAGAATTTTGTACTGGTGATGATAGTGTTGAGGAGCCTGACATTTACTGTGGAACAACTGGTCTAGTATACTTTTTTGGTATAAGTAAGTATTTGGAATAAAATACTTTTCCCTAATCTAAAGGAATCGGCAACATTTTCACTGACTCCAGTGGTGACAGTTTTTCTTGATGCATGAGACATAAGAACATAAGATACATGAAATTGGTACCTGAAAAAGTATGAGGAATATATATGTAGAGGTATGGAACTGGAGGGTGTATGCTTTCTGGAAGACCCATAAGACCCAAAAGAGCAATGTTATTGAAATCTAAGCACTCTTGGGAGTGGGAAGGGCAGGGGAAAGGCAGGCACCGAAAGGAGCAAAAATCGAGCACCATAATCTCCACGGAAGACCCAAAATTATTGCTTCTGAGAATGAGATGGTTGAGTATAGAATAAAGAGGACAGTCTTCGCTTTTGGAATCTCTGTGTCTTTTTAAACTGATCTTGCTGCTTCTGATAATAAGGATAAAACAAAATAGATTGGTTGAGATCTCTGCTTTGGAGAGAATCATGACTTATATTGCTTTCTCTTAAAATGTGAGGTGTGATCTGAGTGTAATGGTTCCTCTGTTTCAGGTTGAATAGATCCTTTTCCTGAATGGGAAAATCTTTCACTGCATTTTTAACTTCTTTAGGCAGTTATGATGCACATAAAGATGAGTTCCTTCTCATGACACTGATCTAGCCCCTATACAGGCAGTGTCTAAATCTGCTTTCAGAGTGGTTTCTGCAATAAATCAATTTAAATTTAAATTCAAATTCAAAGATGGAAGTACCTTTAAAAAAATCTGCAATTTTGTCCTATTGTATTTGGCTAGCATCATAGTTTTCAACCCTGACTTGAAGAGATGCCACTGAACAATCCTTATGAAAAGTTCCAGTTTCTGTGGCTCTTTCTCATTGGGTGGTCTTCATTAGCTTCAATGACTACTAGAGATGATGGTGACAAGGTAGGTGATATATAATCTTTTATTGGACCAACTTTTGTTGTGAAAGGGTACAAGCTTTTGAGTAACACACTGCTCTTCTTCAGGTCCAGGGAAGAAAACAGAGAGATGGTGGAAGAGGTGAATAAAAATACTTGAACCCTCTAAGATGATCTTGATACAGTTGTTCAGTTCTCTTTCAGGTTGCTGAAATGCTGGAGTAGTCTATATTTCCTTTTGCAAGTTCAAGAATTTCCTCATTTAATAGCACCCCCTGAAGATTCCTTTGTCTACTCAATTACAGTGTTAATTGACTATAGTGCTTTTTGCATATGTCAAGGAAAATACAAGTAAATGGTAAAGAATGGAACATAGCTTGTAACTGAAGACAACCACATAGAAAAGTGAACATACACAATCAATTAACTCCTTAGGAGTGAGATATAAAAATAAATTTAAAGCAGAGAAATAATCATGCAAAATTCAGTGTACCTCAGGGAAACATGACACACTGATACAACACAGGAAAACCATATAAAATCAGTTGTAACTCAACTTGACATTATGGTCCCAGTACCTAATGTTAGGTTCAAAGTGAATAGTTACCCTTCCTTAAGTCCTCAGCACCCTATTTTTTTGCCTATGCACTAAGTCCTTCTAAAACAATTGCTCCCAGTGCAGTCTTTCAAGCCTCACACCTGCCCTTGGACAAGTTACCTCCCATGAAGTTCAAAAACTGTAGAGATAATTTTGAAAAAGAGTGAAGGGTTCCACATTCATAAGACCAGGTAAGAGCTTTACAATTAGTGGAAATGTTTTAAAAAATAAAATAAAATAAAATAAAATAAAACTTTTATTAGCATGCAAAATAGAAGTATAGAAAACTGAAAAGCTATAAAATTAAGAAACAAGAAAAAAATTAAAATAAGACACAGCATTTTGAGAAAGGTAATTACTGAAACAGGATGCATTCCTGTTTTCTGCAGCAGCAGTAGCAGCCAGCAGCCAGTCATGAAAGGGACTAGTCATGCTAAATCCCTTTTGCATTAATCCTTGCTTCAGAGAAAAGGCAAACAATTCCAGCTGAAAGAGAGAGAGACACACACTGAGCACAAGATGGAAGCTGAAATTAACACAAATACATTGTAACTATTAATTGAGAGAGAGGATAAATGGCAACTCCTATAGCTTCACAAGACCTTGATAATACTTTTAGATAGCTGTGGTGAAATAAACAACTCTTATTGGAACATGATGGAATTGAGATTTATAGTAAAAAAGCTGAGCAAAAATTTGCTAAATTACATATAATGGAAATGGATATAAATACACATGCTCAACAAGATGACTGTCATTTAATTAAAGAAAGATTCACAGAGCTCCTAATTCTGTATTTACTTATCTTACTGAAGAGTTAATTGTGGTGTTGTTAATGTTTTCTCATTCAAATAGCAGTTTGCTCTGTAAAGTTTACAGTCTCTCTTAGCTTTGTTTAAAAGGTGATTTGAAAAACTAAGACTTTTCTTGTGATTAAGTATATATTATTTTCAGGGAACAAAATTAAAAAACAGTAGGGGAGAAGACTGAGGAAAAACAAAGGACTGGAATTAAGGAAAAGAAGAAAGCGCACAAGGCACACAGAAATAAAGTAGTACAGTACTAAACATTGGGTAATTCACAACACCAGCCATTTCATCAGCTTCAGATCCAGTTTGAAAAACAAGGAACAACGCCTGAATAATTAATTTGTTTAGTGATAAAGAAGTAAAAGACCAGCGGTGAGATTTTGTGTTTTGTCACTTCAAGCCATTTTTGGGCCCTGCCAATCCTGGATTGCTATTGGGGCCAATGTAGTCCCTTGAATAACTTAACATTGGGAAGCTGCCTACATTACCATAATCCGTGCAGTGCTATGCTGTTGCATATCCCACACCATCTCCTGGTTTAGGCATGATTCCTAAACCAGGGCCTGAGGCATAAGTCTTATATGGTAACATAAGTTGCCTTATGCAAAGCAACTGAGGCAGGTGATTAGATTCTCCCCATCTAGATCTCCCCATCTAGACAGCCCAATCACTAAGGCTATGTATCGACTGCAAGCCTCTTTCAAAAAAGAGCATGTAAACTACAATCAGTACTTTCAAAAAAGGCAGTCTGGATGCTCTCTTTCGAAAATGCAGTTTGCAGTACATAGCGCCTTTTTTCGAAAGAGCACTTTTGAAAACAGTCATTACTCCTCGTAAAATGAGGTTTTCCATGGTCAAAAAACTGCCGTGTTCTTTTGATTTACTTTCGAAAGAACGCGGCAGCAGTCTAGATGCAGGGGAAGTTTTTTCGAAAAAAGGCCACTTTTTTCGAAAAAGCCCTGTAGTCTAGATCCACCCTCCGGGTCATACCCAGTGGCGTGCTCTTTACAGGATTGTGAGTTGGGAGGGGAAAGTGACTTTAATTGACATTTATGTTCTCCCAATTCTGAACCAATCTATACTAACTAGCTTAGCACTGTTATATTAAGAGTAGCTCTAATTTAAGCCAGGTTATTTATAGCCCCAAAAGGACAGTCTAGAATCTTGGAAGTACCAGGAAGTAGGGATGCCTTCCTAATGCTCCCAGAGGATGAAGTGACGGAGCGGAGCTGCTAATATCATTTTATTCCACACAGAGATCCTCCCTTATATAATGCAAATACTCAAAAAGGTGGATCCACTGGGTTTATGCACTGCTTTAGTGCAACCCCAAGGTTTATGCAGCCATAGTCCAAAAATCTGTCCTCTGGCATTTTTCCAGATTTCCTACTCTTTAAAACCAAAATGTTAAATAAAATATGCAGGCCAATTTACATACTCCAAACAAATATTTTATAAAGCAAAATATTGTACAATTAGTTCTCCTTTCATTCAGCTGTTAAAATCAGAGTCTAGAGAATGTACAACATTCCTTATATCAAGTAAGCAGGATTTTCTTGTACTCCCTGCATGGCTTCCTCAACATTCAAGTTCTTCAGGGAAATCCACAATCTTCTGCCAATTACAGTAGATCTGGACAAGTCAGTGGATCTGGAAATGAGTCTCAAATGGTACTTTTAAAATGATTAGTTTTAACTTTTGGAGTTACATGTATATTACATTAGTGAGACAAGATATGAGGGTGGAATTTTTAGAGAGTTCAGTGTTGGCTTAACTCTACTGTGACTAGGGCCAATGATAAAACTCCTAGGCTATGTCTAGACTGCAAGCCTCTTTCGAAAGAGCCTCTTTTGAAAGAGAGCGTCTAGACTGCACGCGGAATTTCGAAAAAGCAAGCCGCTTTTTCGAAAGAAAGCACCCAGTGAGTCTGGATGCTCTCTTTCTAAAAAGCCTGTTTGCTTTCAAGAACGCCTTCTTTCGAAAGAGCACTTTTGAAAGAAGGCATTCTTCCTCGTGGAATTAGGTTTACCACCGTCGAAAGAAAAACCGCATTCTTTCGATTTAATTTCGAAAGAACGCAGCTGCAGTCTAGACCCCTGAGTCTGGACACAGCCCTAATGATTTCCAATGGAAGAGGAGTTTAAGCCAACACTAGGTGCTCTTGGAAATCTGCCGTAAAACTGCTTTTAAAACAGATTCCAATACTGTTAATACTAGGGGGCTGCATTCCCTGCTTACTACTCTCACCAACACCCCCCCCCCCCCCCGGGGGGTAGGTGTCTGGCCACAGGGGAGGGTGCAGGAGCAGGCTGGGGGTAGGTGCTGACTGAGGGGAGGGTGCAAGAGCAGGGAAGAGGAGAGGGGGAGGAACAGGAGCAAGTTGGGGGTAGGTGTCTGGCTAGGGGAGAGAGGATTCAGCATGGCCCGGGGGAGGGAGAGGTCATGTTCTGATGATGGAGGGGGCCCAACCTCGTCAGCTCCTCCCCAGCGGCGCAGTCCCCCGGGGCATGAAGAGGGAGCCCGAGCTGCAGCAGTCCATGCCTGGAGGGGACAGCACTGAATCTGGCCACTGCAAGGGGCTGGGGACAGAGGAGGAGGCAACATGAGGATGCATATGATGTGATGATGTCACTCTATCATCCTGCAGGAAATTTTTTTTAATATAGAGAAATTAGAAATGTGTGGTATTTTAAAAAAAAACAATGAAATAGAAACTAACAACTTCACAACTGAAAATATGCATATATTTTTGCTGAGGTTTTCAGTCTCTGAGGACACATCTACATAGTCAGTGGCAGCAAGTCTTAGAGCCCAGCTCAACAGATTTGGGCTCACGTGCTCCAGTGCTAAAAATAAATGTTGTGACTTGGGACAGACTTTGGCCTCTGAAGCCCACCAATGAGTCACTGAATTTACACAGATATTTAAATACCACATGCCTGAGTTTGTCAACTTGGGCTCTGAGACTCACCGCCATGGGCTCCCACTCAATGTGCAGGCATGCCCTGTGATACCAACTTTCTTGGTACCCATTTTCATGGTTGTTAAGTTTGTGCTCACCTCCTCAATTGCACCTGCTGAAATTCTATGACCTGCAACATTGATCACATCATCAACTCGAGATAGGACATACAAGTAGCCATTTTCATCCATGTACCCAGCATCCATGGTATCATAGTATCCCTGAAATAAAATGACAAGAAATAAATGGGAGGATTAGGGTCATCATCTCAGCAATGTTCTACAAACAAAATGGATGACTCACTCAAAATGGAAAAAGGTGCAGGCCTGTTTAATACAGTTATCTCCCACCAAAAGTGTATGCATTAAAACTTCTTGAGATATTTATCTTCTCGTGAATTTTAAAACTGAAAGCCTTTATAAGTGCTGCAGTTGCTTCTTTTCCAATTATTTTTCCATTATATTGATTTTATTCTGAAACACTGTATTCTTATTTTATAATACGGCTTGGGATCCCCTCCCTAACTGCCCCTCAAGTAGGAATGTGAAATTTCAATGAATTGGCTAATTGAATAGTCGATGCAATTTGCAAACAGTCCCCCGCTGACCCCAGGCTCCATGCAGCACTGCCACTTTGAAATGCCACATGCAGGGTAGCCAGGGACTCCCAGCTGGTCCTGGACTGCACACAGCATTTCAAAGCAGCAGCCCCATGTGGAGCCCAGAGTCTGGCCCCAGGCTCCATGTGATGCTGCCACTTTGAAGCATCCCCTTCTTCTTTCCTCCCCTCCCCAACTGCCTCTTTCTTATAGAGGCAGAAAGTGTGTGTGGGGGGAGTTACTAGTCGACTAGTATATCGACTATCCGATTTGCTTATTGGATAGCCGAATAGTCATTCAGGGTATGTCTACACTACAGCGCTAATTCGAACTAACTTAGTTCGAATTAGTTAATTCGAACTAAGCTAATTCGAACTAATGCATCCAGACTAAAAAACTAGTTCGAATTAGCGTTTTGCTAATTCGAACTAGCATGTCCACATTAAGTGGACCCTGAACCGGGG